GCCCCGTGCCTCTGTGCTCACCCCACTCTCCCATTTTGCTCTGCTCGTCCCTCACCCCTTCTCGGACATCTTTCTTAGGCTCTTCTTTTTGTTGTTAACAGCTGGCCCCTTCCCTCTCCATCTGTCTCTATCCTCTGTTTTTTGGGTTATGTCTCAGGCTCACCTCGCCCCTGCCCCAGGGAAAACCTCTATTTTCTATATTCTCAAGTAGCTGAAAGAAAAGTTGTCATTTCTAATAGTTACTAGTAACAATAGTGAGATTCACATTTCTCTGGAAATAAGCCAATGACTTTAAGCCTAGATCTAACTGCAGAATCATGTAATATAAAGTTAGCATTGTAATAGCTACTTATAAGAAAAAACGTGTAAAAGTTGGTTAATTTCCATTTTCTGGGCTATATTCCATAGTTCACAGGTATTTTCAAATGATAACTCTATCAACAGTTGTCTCAGAATGGCTGTTATTGTTGATGCATGGGTGGATACTACACCTCGGTAAATATTTCTCCCTGGGAAATGCTTGGCTTTTGTGCCGCAGAACACAGAGAACCCTCCCTCCAGACAACAGGGCTTCCTTATACGCACACAAATACAGCAAATGCGGAGTGTGCAGTCAGATTCAGACGATTTATTGTACTGAATTTAGATTCAAGTTCAACTAAACATTCTAACAGGTAACAAGATTCGAACAGCAGAGAAAAATCTATTTCAGTCATAAGAAAGCAAGCTCACAAAGAGTCTATGGGCGAGCGGATGAGCTTTCATTTTATTGGCTCTCGACACCCATCTGTGTGTAAGTGTGGTAACATGAAGCGGCAGAACATGGAAAATGATATGACACCACAATACCCCAAAGATGATTATTCTTACTTTGAATGGTAAACATCATTTAAATAATAATTTAAAAAAACATTTAAAAGATCCAGTTTTTGTAATTCCTAACTGTAAAATATCATCTCAGTAACAGAACAAAGAATTCTCCTGGGTTGGTCATATCATTCATTACTGAACAGGAAAATCAGTATCATAAAAAATGAAACATGGAAGTAGAAATAAATAACAAAATAATTTACGTGTAGGTAGTTTTGCTGCATTGCACATAACCACACAAAATCCTAAAGCTGATTTTTTTAAGTTTAGAAAACACATTTGCCTTTTTTTCGAGCTTCCTGCTAAGTGATGCATGCTTCTTCTAAAGAAAACTATGTGGGCCTGATCTTTAAAACTTAAGTATCTGTCAATCTAGATCTTGCCTGAGTGCACAGGTGTGGACAATGGGTGGCGAACAAGCGACCTTCCCAGGCTCTGGGGGGTGGGGGAGCGGGGTGCAGGGGGGGCCAGGCCTAGCAGCAGGCAGCTTCTCCAGCTTACCCCCAGGCCTAATGCCAGTAGTTTAGGGTGGAAATATGCAAAAAGCACTGGTACAAAATGGGTGTGTTTGTACTCAAACTGTGATGTCTCTCAGTGGACTCTAAAATCTTCACTCGAGTCCTTGGGGGGTTTAGCAAGAAGTATCACACAGCACGAGGATGGGGGAACAGTGTTGCCTGTAGCACTTCTAGCAAGGCTCAACAGAGAGTGTTTTTCTTCCACAAGGCTCTTTTTTCAATGACAGCCTAGCTGGATATAGTATCCTTGGCTGCATATTTCTCTCGTTTAGTGCTCTGAATATATCATGCCAGTCCTTTCTGGCCTGCCAGGTCTCTGTGGATAGGTCTGCTGCCAGTCTAATGTTTCTACCATTGTAGGTTACAGATCTCTTGTACCGAGCTTTCAGGATTTTCTCTTTGTCTCTGAGACTCGTAAGATTGACTATTAGATGTCGGGGTGTAGACCTATTTTTATCGATTTTGAGAGGGGTTCTCTGTGCCTCCTGGATTTTGATGCCTGTTTCCTTCCCCAAATTAGCGAAGTTCTCTGCTATAATTTGCTCCAATATACCTTCTGCCCCTCTCTTCTTCTTCTGGGATCCCAATTATTCTAATGTTTCATCTTATGGTATCACTTATCTCTCGAATTCTGCCCTCGTGATCCAGTAGTTATCTTTTTCTCAGCTTCTTTATTTTCCATCATTTGGTCTTCTATATCACTAATTCTCTCTTCTGCCTCCTTTAACCTAGCAGTTAGAGCCTCCATTTTTGATTGCACCTCATTAATAGCCTTCTTGATTTCGACTTGGTTAGATTTTAGTTCTTTTATTTCTCCAGAAAGGGTTTCTCTAATAACTTCCATGTTTTCAAGCCCAGCTAGTATCTTTAAAATTATCATTCTGAACTCTAGGTCCGACATCTTACTAATGTCCATATTGAGTAGGTCCCTGGCAGTCGGTACTGCCTCTTGTTCTTTTTGTTGAGGTGATTTTTTCTGTGTTGTCATTTTGTCGAGAGGAGAATAGATGAATGAGAGAACAAAATGCTAACAGGTTAACAATGTCCCAGAAAATATACACTCAACAAATCAGAAAAGACCTTCCAGAAAGTGGTCGCTTCTCTGTTCAGAGAGTTGTTGCTATTCCTTTCTTCGATCTCCTGTTGAGTTCGTAGGTGTTCAGAATGGTTTGATCCATAACCAGCTGAATTCCTGGGACCAGACAAAATCCAGGTCTCCTACTCCTCTGCCATCTTGCTCCACCCCCTCTTCCACAAGGCTCTTAGCAAGTTTCCACCGGTCCAATCTCTTTTGCTTCCTATTTTCCAAGCATTCCCAGTTCCCTGCCTTCTTGGCCAGCCCTTAATTGATATGAATTCTTCTCCTGAATTAAGCTCCTCCCATGCTTGCCTCGCAGCCTGGCCCTCCACAGCATCAGAAAGAGCCACATGCGAACCTCTTGAGACCACAGGCCTCTCAGCACCACACGATGGGCCCTCCCGAACAGCACTTTTTAAATCTGTCGGGGAGGACATGTTTGCTGGCTTAGGAGAAAACGGATCTTGAAAATAAAGGGAAAGATGAAGTGGAATTCTGGTGCATACTCAAATTATTTTAAGATTGAAGTTTGGTCTCTTCTCTTGCCTGTCTTTCCAGGCCCACAAATGGTAACTAGCGTCCTGAATTAAGAGAATGCCAATGCATATTCTTTCTTGAATGGGGTTGTCCGTGCAGGGGTCAGCGAACGTCTTAACGGGACGTTTGTCCATAAAGGGACATTTAGTAAGTATTTTAGGCTCTACAGGTCACCTACAGTCTCTGTTGCATGTTCTTCCCTTTTTTTCTTTACTAACCCTTTCAGAATTGAAAAACCACTCGCAGCTCAAGAGTCTTCTAGGTTTTCCCTGTGGCCAATAGTTTGCCAAGGAGTTCTTTGGCAGGGGAACATGGGCACTTAACTATGTAAAGTATAAGGCTGTTTGGGCCTCGGAACCCTGATTTGGGATTTCTTTTGGACAGTGAGGTAGGTCCTTGCCCAGGGATCCTTAGACCAGGCGTAAAGCAGAACTCCTATTTGTTTCCATTCTGCTCCCCAGACGGTACAGACCTGGACCAAATTGGCACCGTTTACGTAAAAGGTGGCTACTTATGGTAGGAAGTCTTAATTAAGGCCCATTTAAATTTGGGCCTACGCTGGCTAACACTTGCCTTGTTTTAAAGGCAAAATCACATACTCCAGGTGTCTGAAGAGTTTCATTTCCAGGTTACTTACTACTCCCAATGGTTGGCGGTAGAAAAGCTCAAGTGTAAACACATTTCCTCTTCACCACCGATGCTCCCCACAGTCCACAGAACAGGCCCTGTCTGAGGATTCAAGGGGAAGCACGCCAGCTCACTCTACTCCAGGGGTATCTACAACACTGCCCATGTGTGGCTGGGTCTTGATAAGGAGCAGCGTTTACCAGGGACCAAGCACTTTTAAGAGCTGGAGACCAGCGTTTCAGAATCTGGGTCTTCCACAGGGACATTTACCTCCCTCCTCCCTGACAGAAGAGGCTGTACCACCACCGAGCTCCTCCAACCTTCTGGATAGCTGAGAGACAAAGATTCTACCAATAACTTTCTCACTGTTAGAATATTCACTTTGAAGAGCAGAGTAAGAGAATCTGCATTTCTTTTATATATTTGTGATCTTTTCAAGTCATCACTATACATATGATATATGCCCTGTTTTAAATAGTTAATAAACATAAATAAAATCCAATTTTTTAAAGTTGAATAAGGGCTTCGGGATCTGAATCCTTTCTTTAATGAATACTGTCTGGAGAAGCAGCTGTTGGTTCTCAAAATACACATTTGCTACCAACCAGACGAATTTAACTGTTCTGGGATTAAGAAATAGCATGCATGTACACACACACTCACAAAAAGAACTTCACCTAAAAAAAACTAGCTATGAGAATTCCCAAAGCCTCTAAACTAAATGAATAGGTGAAAAACAACCAATCTCACATAAGCCAATCCAGTTGCTCTCTTCAGGTTTCTGTTTAGAATGTTGAACTCGTTTTCTCAAACTGTGAGTTTATTTCTTGTATTCAAGTCAGGCCCTTCTCTTAGTCAGGATTTACAGTGGCATTACCACCACAGCCTCAACTGTGACTGTAATAAAGACAACCGGTCAAGCTAAGCATGGGGTCTCCAAGATAAAACTGCTGCGACCATTTTTCATTAAGGACGGGAACACCAACTTGAAATTGGAAGAAACTGGAGCACATGAAACCAGCAAAAATGTACCACTAAGAAATGCTGACGTGCGTGTCAGCAGGCACTAGCTCCAGTTCTCATGACCTTGAAACCAGTGAAACTTGATGAATTTTCCAACTCAAGGACATAATATTCTAGGGCTGCTGAAAGGTAGGACTGAGAAAGTCATTACCTGTGGTCAGGAAAGAATGGTAATGGGGATTTTTCTACATAAAAAGAAATGAAACAAATTCTGAAGTGTGTGTTTTTAAAAGAAAGAGCACGGCATTCTCTCATCCTCTTTATCATTTCTCTCTCTCTCTCACACACACACACTCACACACATTCTATTCTCTCACATATTTTCTCTCTCACACATTCTCACACATACACAAAAACATTTCAGTTTCTCTCACATTCTCTCTCACATTCTCTCACACACACATTCTCTCTCTCACACACTCACACACACACACACACACACACTGCTGTAGTCATTATTTCACATCTTCCAGGATTATCAATTTTAAAAATAGTTACCTCCTGGTTCCTATATTTCTATCTCAGGTATAAATGGTTTTGATTTTTTAAGCCTACAAAGAAAACATATAGTGACAGATCTGAACAAGAACTAAAAACCACACATCACCCTGTGTAGGTCAGAGCTTTTGAGCTAAACAAAAAGAGGACTATGATTCAGTCAGTCAGGTTCTGGTTCTGAGAAAGCATCACTCTCAGTGCTACCTCCTCTGATGGAAAACAGCTTTGCCATTCCCTCCAGTATAAAAGTGCATCTGTTTAAAATTTAACATACCTCAAAGAAAAACAGAAAGTCTTAGGTAGCCATCCTACGCAGCAAGAATGAAGTGATTTTCCCTTTTCCCTGCTCAACTTAAAGCTATATGCAAAACGGCTAAACGCAGTACTTCTGGGACAGCAGAGCTTACAAACAATGGATTTTGTTTTTGTTTCAAGGAACAAAAATTGGGAAAGGAAAAACAAAACCAAATGAGAATAAAGAGGAGAAACCCTGAGGCAAAAAATGGCTTTTCCTTCAGAAAGTCTCGCTGGGCTCTCGAATTCCCGTTCACAAGGTACCGGCAATCTTCTGGGACGGAAGGCCTTCCTCCAGCCAGAGGGTGGCAGTCGAAGCGCTGCGCGGTGTGCGCCTGTGAATGCGCCGGAGCCGCAGCAGGTACAGGAGGATGGAGAGCACGACCACCAGGAAGCAGCCTGAGAACAGGTAGTGATTGTAGACAAAGGAGAAGCCCCGCCAGTGAGTGTGACTGGCCCGGAAGGTCTCCTGCTGGATATCTCTGCTCGCACGGAAACAAAAGCAAACACCACAGGTTAAGTAAGAACGGGACTCATCAGGCAAGCCACGCGGTGGAAAAGTGCGCAGCGTATGGGAACTGCGCGCAGGCTATGGGAAGAGCGCGCAGGCTATGGGAACAGTGCGCAGCGTATGGGAACAGCGTGCAGGCTATGGGAAGAGCGCGCAGGGTATGGGAACAGTGCGCAGCGTATGGGAACAGCGTGCAGCATTATGGGAAGAGCGCGCAGGGTATGGGAACAGCGTGCAGGCTATGGGAAGAGCGCGCAGGGTATGGGAACAGCGTGCAGGCTATGGGGAAAATGTGCAAGGATATGGGCCGGAGGGAGCTGGCTTAGGACTCGGCGCTGCAGACAAAAACTGTCATCTCGGTCTCTGAGACTCAGTTTCCTCACCTCTAAAATGTAGGCTAATGTGGCCTAACAGGGTGGTTGTAAGTAGTAACAAGAGAACACATGAAAGTGCATTTGTAAGTCTGTGGCAGTTACCATTATTGTCATTCGGTAAACAAAAATCAGAGAAATGTAAAAGAACAGTGACAGTTTCACTAACACACAGAAGCCAATGTGCAACGAGAGCACCTGTCTGTGAGCCATAATACCCACTACTGGGACACGCTCAATTAGATGAAGGGAAAAAAAACCCCAAGAAGCGAATTCCTTGTTTATCAGTGGCCCAGGGTTCTTACATGGGGACAGCGGGCAGCCAGTCTGTGAACGTGAACGGGGAAATGTCCATCTTTACTTGCCAGTCTCTGACTGGCATTCCCACTGACCATGAATGCGGACAGCAAAGAACCGCAGTGTCAGCAGTACTTGTGACTGACTGTGGGGAAGCTTGAAGATCTTTTATATCACACTGTGGTGGTTTGCAGATGCCTCAAAATACCGACACATATCCCTATACTGAAATCACAGCAAGTAGTAGCGCTGCTGCCTGACTGGTTATTTCATGTGTGAACAAAAATATGTCACAGGCCTGTGTTCTGTAATAATTTTTTTTTAAAGATTTTATTTATTTGAGAGAGAGAGAATGAGAGATAGAGAGCACGAGAGGGAAGAGGGTCAGAGGGAGAAGCAGACTCTCTGCTGAGCAGGGAGCCCGACGTGGGACTTGATTCCGGGACTCCAGGATCATGACCTGAGCCGAAGGCAGTCGCTTAACCAACTGAGCCACCCAGGCGCCCCTATTCTGTAATATTTTGATAAATGTATTTCAATACGGGGGTTTCCTCTGTACCCTATGGTATTTATTTTATACCTTAAGAACAGTATTTTGAGGAGGAGTCCAAAGCCATAAAGGTGAAGAACCAGAAACAGCCCTTCTGTGCAGGGGTTAGGGAAAGATGCTTGAGATTAATCAAAAGCTTTTGTGCTACACAGGATGGGATGGGTGGGGTGGGAAGGAAGCATGGGTGGGGAAGACCAAAGTCAAACTTTGGTCTACAGTCCTGTCCACGCCCAGCACGCACCCCAAACACCCGCAAACCATAGCTGCCGTGCTGTATCACAATGCAGAAAAGCCTATTTTGTTTTTCTTGTTACCAAATCCATAGCCATACCTTAAGGGTAAAAAACGGGTCCTGTAAAGGATTGCTCCGAGCGTCCACTGAACCTCCTTGTCATAAACTTGTAAGGCTGTCTTTAAATTTTTATAGTTGACAGGAAACGAAAAGCCCCTATGAAACACCTCGAACATCCAGGCCGATTTGAAGCACTGATACCTATGAACACCAAGCATAAACGTAAGTGGGATTCATTTACTTGTCAAAATGAACCATACACTGAGATGTCCTTCCCCCGCGACCACGGTGGGTGCACAGGCCGGCACTTTGGGCAGCCAAACAACCCTATACACTTCCAGTTGGTCGACTTGGTTTGTGCCCCTTGTCCCATAATCCGAAACAGTTCACCTGCCAAAATCGGTTAGCGCATGAAACTTGGTCTCGGTATGATTTCATACCTTGCTATGACAGATTTTTTTCCTCAGGCATTCCATCATTTACTGTCTGATAAATACTGAGCAAGTCCCAACTTCTTTGGACCTCAGTTTTTTAAATTATAAAATGAGAAAGCAGAAGGGTCCTTTTCAGCTTTGATATTCTATGATTCTAAATATTTATCAGAAGCTTTGCAAAGTAAATATTTATCAGAGGCTTACTTATTGCAAAGTGCTGAGCTAAGTTAGTAATGAGATATAATAGCAAATAATAAGATAGCCCATGTACTTAAATGACTTATAATGACGGGATTTTAAAAAAGCAACAAAGAATTACGAAGTAAGGCAGAATCTGATAAATGCCACTAGGGAAACATAATGTGTGCTCTGGAGACCGAGAGAGGGATGGAGTCTGCTTGAATGGGCAAGAGGGAGACTCGAAAGGGACAGCGTCTGACCTGACTCTGAGGTCTGGCCAGGACTTCAACAAGCAGGGGATGAACAAGGGAACTCCAGGTGGAAGGAAAAGCAAAACTGAATAAAAAACTGTCAGCTATGTTTGGACACAAGTATCTGTTGTCCCGTCTAAAAGTAGCCCCAGGATAGAGGAGGAGAAACAGTGATCGATGAGGATGTGAAAGCAGGTCGGGGCCAGGGTGTGGCAAGCCAGGTGCCAACACTGATGCACGGTTCTGTGAAACCGCATGGGCTCAGCCACCCACTGCTTACTTTAGCCTGTGGAGGTCAGCATGGGAGGCGTAGAGTCCTCGGTCAAAGCGTTCCCGCAAGATTGACCACTTTGTTGCACAATAATCCTAGAAGAAATTTCACCCCAAAGAAATCATTGGTTAAGGTTTAACGGTTTCTTCATTTTACAAACGGTTGACTAAATTCATATTCCTAACAAACAGATCCTTCCAATTAGGCAACACAAGCTTAACGTCTATGTGTAACGTGAAGACAGGATGTACAAGCTTCCAGCAAATAGTCACTGATTAGCAAAGACAGTGCTTGTTCTGTCTTAAAATGCTGCCAAAGTTATTGTTACAGAGAATTTCACTGCCCACAACCAACCTCTTCAAAATTGCTTACGTTTCCCCCTGCGTGACTGCCTGTGACAGGCAGAAACTTTCGGAAAAGTGAAGTGGTACTTCAGCTAGGTCCGAGGGGGTACCTAGATCTGTGGCTCCACAGTGCAAGGCCCTGGGAACACCAACATGACTACAAAAGGCCTGTCTTTCAGAGAAGGGCAAGAGGTGCCATCTTTTCCTGAAGTTATTTGTAATAATATTAATAGCTAACATTTATTGAGCACAAAGTGCCTTTTCTGAACAGAATACTTAAAGCCATTCCTTGACATGGCTAGGATTCCAACCTCTATTTCAAGGACGAAGAAACTGAGGGTCTGAGAGATGGTGAAATGTGCAGCAGGGAACACAGAACAGCACTCAGTCTGGGGTGAGAGGTGTGGACAGGCATTGAGGGCAGAGGAAACACTGTGAACAAGGAGGGAAGTAGGCTGGATGTTAGGGAAATGAAGTCCGCAGTGATGAGAGTGAGGGCGTGCGTGCTGGGTGGGGAGGGGACGCTCCTGGGTGGGGATGACATGTGGAAGCACTTGCAATTTATCCTGGTACAAAAGGAAGCCGCTGAAGACTATAAAAAGGAGAGGGGACTGCACTTGTGTCTTGGACAGAACTCTCTGCGAGTGGTGTGGGGAGTAGACGATGGAGGGAGACCAGAGGCAAGAAGACCAACTGGGAGGCTCCTACAGGTGACAGCCACAGGCCTCACTAGGGCACTGAGAGCAGGACGGAAAGTAGGGAGGGCTTTGAGAAATGGTCATGCATCAAGTAATGTGCTTGTTGACTGATTATAGGGCATGTGCAGCGAGGTGGGAATGAATGGCGGGGAGAAGTCTAGAACTCCTGAGTTTTGGGAGGTGGACTAGATGGTCGGGGATGCCATTAACCCAGACAACATCACAGAACGAGGGGAACAAAGGGAAAAAGGTGGGTTTGTTTTGGGACATGAAATCTCATAGGCAGGGGTCAGGACTGGACCCTTTTCTTGACAAGCAGTAGCAGCAACCCGTGAGCAAGGGTGAGACTGTCTAAGAGCCTGAACGTCCAAGGGCCAAAGATGGCTGTTGGGGATCACCCAGGGTTAAGGGGTATAAAGGTGGGGAACCCTTGAAAGAGCCTAAGCAACTCTCAGAAAGGCAGGGGCCAACAAGAGAACAGGGGTCCTGGCAGCTAAGGGACAGGAAGGCTGCCAGGAGTGTGACCAGATCATGGCTACATTATTACCCAGAAGTATACAAGTCTGTCATCTGGAAGCCACTTGTGATCAGAGCGGTTCATGGAGTGGTGGGCCGAGGTCCGCTCACTGTGGACTTCTGACTCCTGCTGGGACTACGTCTCTTGCTCAACCAAGGGAACAGGATCCCCAATATGCTGCACTACACCCTTCCATCCTCCACCTTCCCCATCTCTTGACCCGGGCCTTTCGATGTGCAGGACAGACATAAGCTGCCACTGTCTACACCAGTCTCTCAAAAGCATGCAGGGGAAGAGGGTTTCTTTGAAGGTTACCTTTGCAGCTTTAGTAAAAGTAGCAGCATTGTAATCCCCCCCCATTCGTAACACATCTTCAGTGCAATAGTAGAACTCCGAAAAGCCATAGAATTCGCTGTTCTGGAAGTGAATTGGGGGCTGGTAGATGCCATTGAGGGAGGTCTGTGTCTCATTTGTTTTATTCATGAAAGGCTGGATGGTCTCTCGACACAGGTCAAAGTCTCCTGTTCCCCGGAGGTACATGGTCTGTCCATTTTGCTGGATTTCATCTTTAATGTCTAGGGGTAAGCAGGGGTCCAGGTATGGAGTATCAGGAGCCAGACCGGTCTGTTTCCCCAGAAGCCTACAGGACAAAGAGAAACTTGATTTGAGACTGACAGAAAACCATGTTTTGAAGAAGCAGCTACAAGTCAGTGTTTCTTAAGACATTCTGTGGACCATGAGCTCTGTGAGGTGTTCTGTGGGAATGAAGAAGGGTTCTGGGATCATAAGGTTAGGGAAACAGGCTCTTGGGCCCCTCCTGGAGATTCACCATCCATCCACATGTGTGTAGGGCAGACACTGAAACAGGGTCCAGTGAGACAGCTACCCTGTCGGATGACCAGTGCTTTCCGTACCCTGGAATGTGGCCTGGTACTCTCAGCCCGAGCGTCTGTGGTTCCTACGCTCCTCTCGGTTTCAAGTTCACTGAAGGTGAATGCCCACCAGCTGTGTCATTTCCAATCTTGTTCTGCCACTAGAGCCTGTGGGTTTCAGTATACAGAGATGAAATGTGACCGCGGAAAGAAGTCACTGGCCCCATCTAAGCCAGGCTCCAAGCCTTAGATAAAGGCAAGGTGCTTGCTTGAAAACTGCTGTCAAATTCAGTATTAGCAAGGTTTAAAAAAATGGGGAAAATCAAGAAGAACTGGTATCAAATTGCTTCACAGATGTCTGTTAAGCCCTTGGTAGTCTTTAAAGAAGCCAGAATGACACTGAGATGAGCAGGTGCAGTGCGTGCCAGAGCTATGACGGGTGTAGCCTGAGAAAAGACCTCAATCCAGAGCAAAAGACTGGCACATGAATACTTAAGTTAAAACAAAATAAACCTGCTGTTTCATTCTATTTTTGATTCTCTGTTTTACCTGATTTTTAAAAATCGACTCTTGATCCCGATTGCTGCAGGTAAGAGAGTTTCTATTGTAATACAAGGTTCTGAGAAGTCCCATGGAAAAGAAATCTTAACTGTCCACTGAAATGCACTGTGCTTACAACTGACTTCCTGATGAAACGTCCCTGTGCTAAGACCTGTCATCCCACTGTATGTACTCACCACTTCTCACCGCTAAGCAACTGAGGAACAGAAAAGAGCTCACAACAATGGCGTCTATGTTAGTGTTTAATACCGTGACATCACATGGGCCTAAAAGGTGTTTAAATATTACTATCAGTCACTCAACTGACAAGTTGTCTATTCTGAAGATCAGGGCAACTCAACATGCACTTGAATGTAATAAATTAAGGTCTTTGCCATTAATTAAAAATGTCTTATTTTGAAAACTCAGTTGCTACTGATGGCAAAGAGATAACTATGCATTTCAAGGCTCAATTCATGACATATGTATAAAATGACGACTGTTTATAATTGTTACAAAAGTCCAAGATGGGGCACCTGAGTGGCTCAGTTAAGTGTCCGACTCCTCGTTTCAGTTCAGGTCATGATCTCAGGGTTGTGAGATCGAGCCCCACATCAGGCTCCACACTCTGGAGAGTCTGCTTGAGATTCTCTCCCTCTGCCCCTCCCCTGGCTCACACACACTCGCTCTCTCTAAAATAAATACATAAGTAATATCTTAAAAAAAAAAAGTCCAAGACTAGTCAAATGTCCTTCAACACTACTGTTTTTAGTTGCCCTACATCTAAATTAAGAAGGACCACTGAACTGTCATGCAAGTTTCTTGACATTAAAACCAATTAGTAAAAATTAGCATTGCAGGTGTTTCTCCAAAGTTCTAATTCAAACATCACTTATAAAATATTTCTATTTAAGACTATTATAAAAAATTATTATAACAAAACGTACTATAATATATACATTTAAAAGAAACGATGGGACTAACCAATCTCTTAACTAACGCCATTCAATTAATGTCTGGAGCAGAAAAAGAACAAGTTTTTTATTGCTCTTCCTATTCACATCTGTGAATTTCTGGAAAATGTGGTACTGAATGGCTCTGACTTGGTCCTTCTTAAAGTTCAGGCCTCCACAGGTTTATCAAGATTAAACTGATCAAGGAACATACTACCATTTATCTCTACGAATTGGGATTTTTTTCCCTCAAAACTGGTTATCAAAAAAAAAAAAAAACTAAACACAGTAATTAATAGGATATTTTATAAAACCCCAGATTTCAGATATTTTTATTCATCCAAACAGCTTTGCTTTTCTTATGGACCAATTTCAAATATAAAATTGCTATATACTTAAACTTATAAATTTAAACTGATTAAAGTGTTGCCTGGGTGGCTCAGTCCGTTAAGTGTCTGCCTTTGGCTCAGGTCATGATCCCAGGGTCCTGGATTGAGTCCTGTGTCAGGCTCCTTGCTCGGTGGGGAGCCTGCATCTCCCTCTGCCTTTGCCTGCCACTCCCCCTGCTTGTGCTCTCTGACAAATAAATAAATAAGATCTTAAAAAAAAATTAAAGTGCTGCTTTTGTTTTATATATTTTTTATAGCAAAATTTTTTATAAACTCAGTTTTTTGTTTTTGTTTTTCTTTTTTTTTATAAATCAGGGCAGTTTTATTTATGATGGCGAGGTACAAGACTCCACGCTTAGGTGCATGGGTGAGATAAGGACCGAGCCCAGGCCTTCTGCTTCTCTTTGGGATTCCTGGGGGCAAACTTCTCCTGCAGTGTCTTCCATATGCCTTTATTCATTTCCTTAACTCTTCCAAAGTGTCTGTGGACAGGATCAGCTTGTACTCGTCCATGGACAGGCCGCTGAAGCTCGCGTCGCTGGGATGAGGGTACTTGTGTTTGTAATAGTTTGAATGGAATTGGCTAAGCTCTCATACATCTAACCACAGGCCTCAGGCTCTGGAATCTGAGTACTCTCTCCCTCCTGAAAGGCCTGTGTTACCTGCTGCTGCAGGTTAAGTGCCCAAGTCCCAGCCCTGTTTGCTCTCATCCATTGGCAGTCCTCACAGAACTTAAGGAAATGCTGGTAGTGGCTGGTCGCCATTTGGGGCACCCCATAATCTCATTTTTAAAAGTTTCACTGCAAAAAATGCTTAAGATCACTAACTTAGACTTCTAGATCACTTCTTTTTCCTGAATGACTTCTTTCTCTATGGTCTTATCCACTAAATGACTGTACAGGCTGGTCTTATCCACTAAATGAACACACCAGAACATCACATAATTCACTTCCATCGTCAAAGACAATTTGATCATCACTTACTGCAGGCCTCCAGGACATCTGCAGTGGCCCAGGTGCTGAGCTTCCCAAGGACTTTGCAATGTGAAATACACTACCTGGGGCTTAAAACTATTTCAAAACATTAATAGTGAAATTTCTAATCCAGGGAGGTGTGGGTCTGAGAGAGAGCTCTTCCTTCAGAGCCTTGAAGGATTCAGGGCCAAAGGTAGGGATCCTGCTGTCCTTTCATTTCTCAGCTGGCAGGGGAGTCAAAACTGACAGTGCTGATAGACTTCTGCTGCTTGAGGTCTCCCTGCTTTGCCTCCATATGTTTTCTATGAGGAGAGACCCAGGTTTGAAAGTGAATCCTGAGAAGTGGAAGGTGCTTTACCTGTTCTTTTGAACTGTGCTGGCAAATATTCGGTCTTCATATCTCTGTCGAGCAGCATTGCCACCAAACCCAAGAAATGTGGCCACATAGACTCGGTACACATGCTCAGTCTGGTGAACATCACATCCCAAGTTAAATTCAGCTAACAAGTTCTTAGCTACTTCTTCCTGCACATGCAAGGATAAAAAGCTTTAATATTTTAAGCAATACAAAAAAAATTACCTCCTGTGAAAAAGAAGGATCTAAAAAGATTCTCATCTAAAAGCAGCAAAAATTTCTGCTTCTGCATTTCCCAAGGACCCCTCTAAGCGTCCCTCAGATTTCAATATGACAATTCTGACTTAAGAGAATCCAGAGAGGCTGCACATCTGTGATACTGTTGCTTTTTGTAAAGGGAAGTTAGCAACATAGTTCATATCCTCTGATCTAGTCAACCTACTTATGGAAGCCTATGCTTTAGAAATAATTCTAAACATCGAAAAGTCTCTACATACAAAGATGACCTCTGTGTTCTGTGAGAGAAAAAACTGAGTGTCATCTAAATCTACAACTCTGGGGCGCCAGGGTGGCTCAGTCAGTAGGCATCTACCTTTGGCTCAGGTCATGATTTCAGGGTCTTGGGATCAAGCCCTACATCGGGCTGCCTGTTCAGCATGGGGTCTGCTTCTCAGAAACTCTCCATCTGCCCCTCCCCACCACTCCTGCTCTCTAATAAATAAATAAAATCTTAAAAAAAATTGTTTTAAAAGATAAAAAAAAATCTACAATTCCAAGGAGGGTTTAGTTAATTATGGTAATCAACAGTTTATGGAGGAACATGCTTACGCACTGTTAAACAAGGGACACAAAATTGTATAAATGGTAAGATATAATAACTATATTTGAAAAAAAACCATAAAGACAGAAAAATGAATGAAAAGAAACACACCAAAATGCTAACAATGATTTTTTTTTGGATGATGCACCCATGGAAAAGTTTTAACCCTGCTTTTTCAGTATTTTTCCAAACTCACTTTCTATGTATTTTTTTACTTTGTCTTGGGGGGAAATATGACTTTTAATAAAGAGTGTAATAGTTTCTAGAGGCATGCCTGGATGAGAAGCAGAACACACAGATCGTAATATTTGAATTTACAAAGCATTTTTGTAAAGAGCTTAATAAATATACCAATAACATTTAGTAAGCGAACACGAGGTGGCTGGCAGTACATCGGATATATTATATGCACTACCTCATTTCAGCTTTATAAAAACCCTGTGTGAGAGGTGCTTGCATTCACATTTATAGATGAAGAACCTACAGCTCAAAGACATTAAGCGATGTGCTTAAGGTCACACATCTAGTGAGGCCAGCGTGATGATGGAGCCCAGACTTTTTTAACCACTACCCCATGCTAGGGGAAAGTGTAGGACACCAGGCTTTGGTAGTAATTTACAGCTGAGTGGAAACAGAGTCGTGAAGACATGTAGCAGTTCAGGAACACATGTGGAAACCTTTCTGGTGCTCTCTATACAAGGCTGCCTGGTCTACTGGGAAACTCCAGGCAGTGACTGCGAGCCCTGAGGGGCATGGGAGAAAACAAGAAACCCTAAGTTCAGAAATGTGCAAGCAGTGCATACAAACCCCAATCCTTTCTAGAAAAGTCAAAAGCTGTCTAAGCCTTAAAAGAAACCCCAGTACATTCCCCAGCTATAACTTAAAAGAAATATGATGCCATTACATTAAGTCTTAAAGTATCTGTTGAAAAAGAAGTAACTGAAGAGAAAACACAAACAAAAATTCAATCATGTGACTAAAATTTATACCAAACAAAAACTCCCAGTTTAGAAAACAAACCAGCTGACTTCAATGAACAAACACAAACGGCTTAGCGGAGGTTTGCGTGGCTTCCTCCTGACTCCGTTCTCCTGGGTTGGGAAGGTAGGGCCTCAGCAAGCATAGTAAAGATGTGTTCAGACTCAGAAAACAAAACAAAAATGATGGAGACATGTTAAAGGAAAACCAAACCAAAAGGAAGAAAATTTGTACGGATAGTAACCTGCTGTGAGGAGGCAAAGCTTACAGTTTTGGGAACTTCGTATGCTATCTGAGTTGACACGCCTCCCATGTCCAGAATACCGGCTGTCCTTTTACGGAGAATAGCTTCCCTGCTTTCACTACCAGGAATGTTAACCTCCACAACTGCATCCTCATCTGCAAAGAACAAGAAACATCCATTGGAACAGAATCAATACGGAGAATGGGGATCTTCTGACGAGTCCTCTTGTCTTCATGGTACTTTCAAGTCCACCTGGGCAAACTCAGCCTACTCCTCCCACCTAAAGCCAAGTTCATAGTGGGAAAGAGCAGCTCCTCTCTCTACTCCTACACGCTTAGCTGTGTCACAAAATTCAGCTCCCGGGGCACCTGGGTGGCTCAGTCGGTAAAGCGTGTGCCTTCAGCTCAGGTCATGATCCCAGGGTCCTGGGATCGAGTCCCAAATCGGGCTCCCTGCTCGGCAGGGAGCCTGCTTCTTCCTCTCCCTCTGCCCCTCGATCATGCTCTCTATCTCAAATAAATAAATAAAATCTTTAAAAAACAAAACTTAGCTCCTTTTTTATCCTTTGGGATTAGACAGACCAGCCATCATTTCTAGTCAGACACATTGGTTGGAAACATTATACTTACCATCCTCAATATGCTCGAATCGTCCAAGGACAAAATTAATGCCAATCCAAGCATACACACCTATAGACATTTTATGGGGGGGAAGATAAGAAGGATAAAGTTTTAAGATACTTTGTACAACTCTTATCGATGCAGTTAGGGCAAACAACTCGTTTACTCCCTGACAACCTGTGAACACATTATCTGAAATAAAGCATCCCTACTGATGTGTATTTTCCTAGTGGCTTTCCAAGAACTCTCAACTTTAAAATTTATAGTTTCCTATCATTTACATAGGTAAAAATAGAATTCCCTCAGTGCCAGCTTCCATTTGAAACTGTTTTGAAATAATGGAAGTTTTACTTTATGAAGTTAAACCATTCCCTAGTAACCACCATTTTATTCTGTTTTTTTCACAGGTTTAAACTAAAGTCTGTAATTAGAGACACAGAAGGACACTATATCATTCTTAAAGGGTCTATCCAACAAGAAGATCTAACAATTGAAAATATCTATGCCCCCAACATGCGAGCAGCCATCTACATAAGCCAACTGTTAACCAAAATAAAGAGTCATATTGATAACAATACGTTAATTGTAGGAGACCTCAATACTCCACTCTCAGCAATGGACAGATCATCTAAGCCGAAAATCAACAAGGAAACAAGAGCTTTGAATGATACACTGGACCAGATGAACCTCATAGATATATACAGAACATTCCACCCTAAAACAACAGAATGCTCATTCTTCTCGAGCACATATGGAACTTTCTCCAGAATAGACCACATACTGGGTCACAAATCAGGTCTCAACTGATACCAAAAGACTGAGATTATTACCTGCATATTCTCAGACCACAATGCTTTAAAACTGGAGCTCAATCACAAGAAAAAATTTGGCAGAAATTCAAACACTTGGAAGCTAAAGACCACTCTGCTCAAGAATGTTTGGGTCAGGAAATCAAAGAAGAACTTAAACAATTCATGGAAATCAATGAGAACGAAAACACACTGGTCCAAAACCTATGGGATACTGCAAAGGCAGTCCTAAGGGGGAAATACACAGGAACGCAAGCATCACTCAAAAAAATAGAAAAATCCCGTATTCACCAACTAACTCTACACCTTAAAGAACTAGAGAAAAAGCAACAAACTATACCTAAGCCACGCATTAGAAGAGAAATAATTAAAATTAGAGCAGAGATCAATGAATTAGAAACCAGAAACACAGTAGATCAGATCAACGAAACTAGAAGTTGGTTCTTTGAAAGAATTAATAAGATCGATAAACGACTGGCCAGACTTATCCAAAAGAAAAGGACCCAAATTAATAAAATTATGAATGAAAGGGGAGAGATCACGACTAACACCAAGGAAACAGAAACAATTATTAGAAATTATTATCAACAACTATATGCCAATAAACTGAGCAATCTGGATGAAATGGAGGCCTTCCTGGAAACCTATAAGCTGCCAAGACTGAAACAGGAAGAAATTGACAACCTGAATAGGCCAATAACCAGTAACGAGATTGAAGCAGTGATCAAAAACCTCCAAAAAACAAGAGTCCAAGGTTTTGTTTTGTTTTTTTAAGATTTTATTTATTTGACAGAGAGAGACTCAGTGAAAGAGGGAACACAAGCAGAGGGAGTGAGAGAGGGAGACGCAGGCTTCCCGCTGAGCAGGGAGCCTGATGCAGGGCTCGATCCCAGGACTCTGGGATCATGACCTGAGCTGAAGGCAGACGCTTAACGACTGAGCCACCCAGGCGCGCAAGAGTCCAGGGCCTGATGGATTCCCTGGGGAATTCTACCAAACATTCAAAGAAGAAATAATACCTATTCTACTGAAGCTGTTTAAAAAAATAGAAACAGAAGGAAAACTTCCAAACTCATTCTATGAGGCCAGCATCACCTTAATCCCTAAACCAGGCAAAGACCCCATCAAAAAGGAGAATTTCAGACCGATATCCCTGATGAATATGGATTCCAAAATCCTCAACAAAATCCTAGCTAATAGGATCCAACAATACATTAGAAGGATCATCCACCACGACCAAGTGGGATTTATCCCTGGGATGCAAGGGTGGTTCAACATTCGCAAATCAATCAATGTGATAGAACACATTAATAAGAGGAGAGAGAACCATATGGTCCTCTCATTGATACAGAAAAAGCATTTGACAAAATACAACATCCTTTCCTGATTAAAACTCTTCAGAGTATAGGGATAGAGGGAACATTCCTCAAGTTCATAAAATCCATCTATGAAAAACCCACAGCGAATATCATTCTCAATGGGGAAAAGCTGAGAGCCTTTCCCTTAAGATCAGGAACACGTCAAGGATGCCCACTCTCCCCACTATTGTTCAACATAGTACTAGAAGTCCTAGCAACAGCAATCAGACAACAAAAAGAAATAAAAGGTATTCAAATTGACAAAGAAGAAGTCAAACTCTTTCTTTTTGCAGATGACATGATACTTTATGTGGAAAACCCAAAAGACTCCACCCCCAAATTACTAGAACTCATACAGCAATTCAGTAATGTGGCAGGATACAAAATCAACACACAGAAATCAGTGGCTTTCTTTAACAACACAACTGTAGAAAGAGAAATTAGAGAAACGATTCCATTTACAATAGCACTAAAAACGATAAGATACCTCGGAATAAACCTAACCAAAGATGTAAAGGATCTATACTCTAGGAACTACAGAACACTCATGAAAGAAAATGAAGAAGACACAAAAAGATGGAAAAACATTCCATGCTCATAGATCGGAAGAATAAACATTGTTAAAATGTCTATGCTACCCAGAGCAATCTATACCTTCAAAGCCATCCTGATCAAAATTCCAATGACATTTTTCAAAGTGCTGGAACAAACAATCCTAAAATTTGTATGGAATCAGAAAAGACCCCGAATCGCCAAGGAAATGTTGAAAAAGAAAAACAAAGCTGGGGGCATCACGTTGCCCAATTTCAAGCTGTATTACAAAGCTGTGATTACCAAGACAGCATGGTACCGGCACAAAAACAGACATATAGAGCAATGGAACAGAACAGAGAACCCAGATATGGACCCTCAACTCTATGGTCAAATAATCTTTGACAAAGCAGGAAAAAACATGCAATGGAAAAAAGACAGTCTCTTCAATAAATGGTGCTGGGAAAATTGGACAGCCACATGCAGAAGAATGAAACTGGACCATTCTCTAATACCATACACAAAGATAAACTCAAAGTGGATGAAAGACCTCAATCTGAGACAGGAATCCATCAAAATCCTAGAGGAGAACATAGGCAGTAACCTCTTTGACATTGCCCACAGCAACTTCTTTCAAGATACATCTCCAACAGCTAGTGAAACAAAAGCAAAAATGAACTTTTGGGACTTCATCAAGATAAAGAGCTTCTGCACAGCAAAGGAAACAGTCAACAAAACAAAGAGGCAACCCACAGAATGGGAGGAGATATTTGCAACTGACACTACAGAGAAAGGGCTGGTATCCAAGATCTATAAAGAACTTCTCAAACTCAACACACAAAAAACAAATAATCCAGTCAAAAAATGGGCAGAAGATATGAAAAGACACTTCTCTGAAGACGACATACAAATGGCTAACAGACACATGAAAAAATGTTCATCATCATTAGCCATCAGGGAAATTCAAATTAAAACCACATTGAGATACCACCTTACACCAGTTAGAATGGCAAAAATTGACAGGGAAAGGAACAAATGTTGGAGAGGCTGTGGAGAAAGGGGAACCCTCTTACACTGTTGTGAGATGTGATGTTGGTGGGAATGCAACTTGGTACAGCCACTTTGGAAAACAGTGTGGAGGTTCCTCAAAAATTTAAAAATAGAGCTACCCTATGACCCAGCAATTGCACTCCTGGGTATTTACCCCAAAGACACAGATGTAGTGAAAAGAAGGGCCATATGCACCCCAATGTTCATAGCAGCAATGTCTGCAATAGCCAAACTGTGGAGAGAGCCGAGATGCCCTTCAACAGATAAATGGATAAAGAAGATGTGGTCCATGTATGCAATAGGATATTACTCAGCCATCAGAAAGGATGAATACCCAACTTTTACATCAATATGGATGGGAGTGGAGGGGATTATGCTAAGTGAAATAAGTCAAGCAGAGAAAGTCAATTATCATATGGTTTCACTTATTTGTGGCACATAAGGAATAGCATGGAGGACATTAGGAGAAGGAAGGGAAAAATGAAGAGGGGGAATCGGAAGGAGAGATGAACCATGAGAGACTATGGACTCTGAGAAACAAACAGGGTTTTAGAGGGGAGGGGGGTGGGGGGATTGGTTAGCCCGGTGATGGGTATTAAGGAGGGCACGTACTGCATGGAGCACTGGGTGTTATACGAAAACAATGAATTGTGGATCACATCAAAAACTAATGATGTTATTGTACGGTGACTAACATAACATAATAAAATTTAAAAAAAAAGTTTGCAGTTTGTTTAGTCTCCCCTTTTTTTATGTTTTGTGTCTCTCTGTTCTGATGTTTGCTTTGTGGTTACCATGAGGTTTACATAAAACATCTCATAGGTAGAACAGTCTTTTTTCTACGGGTAGCAATTTATTTTTGTTCGCCTATAAAGTTTCCAACCTTTTATTCTTCCCCTTTTATATTTTTGATGTCACAAATTATCTTTTTATGCTGTGATGTTGTGACCAAGTTATAGTAGCTATGGTTACTTTTAATGTTTTCTTTTAACCTTTTTCCTTGTTTAATATATTATTCTAAAAAAGTTAGTTTTTCTATTTATCACCTTAATCAGACTTTGGTGTACCTTCCTCTTTTCATTTCAGCTTGAAAAGCTCCTTTCAACATTTCTTTTAAGTTGTCTGGGTGGTGAACTCCCTTAACTTCTGTTTGTCTGGGAAAGCCTTTATTTCGCCTTTATATCCAAAGGATAACTTTGTCAGATAGAGTATTCCCAGCTGGCAATTTGTATTTTTCAATACTTTAAAGTGTCATTCCACTCTCTCCTGGCCTGCAGAGTTTCCGCTGAGAAATCTACTGATACTCTGACGGGACTTCTTTTGTAGGTTACTGTCTTTTTTTCTCCCTAGTCTCCTTCAGAATAATTTATCACTGACTTTTGACAGTTTTAATCTGGTGTGTCTTGGAGAAGGTCTTTTTGCACTGAGATAAATAAGGTGGTCTATTAGCCTCAAAGACTTGTGTATCCAGTTCCTTCCCTGGGTTTGGGAAGTTCTCTATTACCTCTTTAAATACGCTCTCTTCTCCTGGGACACCCTCTAATCTTACGTTGGTTCTTCTCATGGAGTCTGATAGTTCTCATAGGGTTTCTTCACTTTTTAAAAATCTTAGGTCTTGCTCCTCCTTTTAAGGGAACCATTTCTATACTCCCATCCTCAAGCTTGCTTATTCTCGCCTCCATCTGCTCTATTTCCAATGCATTCTAGTGCATTCTTCATCTCATGTATTGAATTCTTCAGCTCCAGAATGTTTGGTTTTTTAGAAATTTAATCTCTTTGGTAAAGTACTCCTTCTGTTCATTCATTTTATTCCTGAGTTTTCTTTAGAGCTCACTGAATTTCTTTTTTTTTTAAATTTTTTTATTGTTATGTTAATCACCATATATTACATCATTAGTTTTTGATGCAGTGTTCCATGATTCATTGTTTGTTCATAACACCCAGTGCTCCATGCAGAACGTGCCCTCCTCAATACCCATCACCAGGCTAACCCATCCCCCCACCCCCCTACCCTCTAGAACCCTCAGTTTGTTTTTCAGAGTCCATCATCTCTCATGGTTCGTCTCCCCCTCTGACATACTCCCCTTTTCTTCCTCTCCTGTTATCTTCTTCTTTTCCTTTTTTCTTAAAATATGTTGCGTTATTTGTTTCAGAAGTACAGATCTGTGATTCAACAGTCTTGCACAATTCACAGCGCTCACCGTAGCACATACCCTCCCCAATGTCTATCACCCAGCCATCCCATCCCTCCCACCCCCAACCACTCCAGTAACACTCAGTTTGTTTCCTGAGATTAAGAATTCCTCATATCAGTGAGGTCATGTGATACATGTCTTTCTCTGATTGACTTATTTCACTCAGCATAACACCCTCCAGTTCCATCCACGTCGTTGCAAATGGCAAGATCTCATTCCTTTTGATGGCTGCATAATATTCCATTGTGTATATATACCACTTCTTCTTTATCCATTCATCTGTCGATGGGCATCTTGGCTCTTTCCACAGTTTGGCTATTGTGGACATTGCTGCTATAAACATTGGGGTACACGTACCCCTTCGGGTCCCTACATTTGTATCTTTGTGGTAAATACCCAGTAGTGCAATTGCTGGATCGAACAGTAGCTCTAATTTCAACTGTTTGAGGAACCTCCATACTGTTTTCCAGAGGGGTTGCACCAGCTTGCATTCCCACCAACAGTGTAGGAGGGTTCCCCTTCACTGAATTTCTTTATAATAGTATTTTAAATTCTTTATCAGTTAGATTTAAATATTCCATGTCTTTGGGCTCAATTACTGGGAAAACTGCCATGTTCTTTTTGTGATACCATATTAACATGATTTTTCAGTGTTTGATAAAAAGTGCTCTTTCTGCTGCATTTCAAGTTGTGGACACCTTTCTTATTTAGGTAAGGCTTTTTTTACTTTGATCCTAACAGTTCAACAGTTGGTAATTTAAAAAAAAAAGGTGACCGCAGAGTTGGTGGAAGTGTGTGCTTAGTACTTGGGGCTTTGAATGTGCCCATAGCCTGGTAGGGGATCTGCAAGTGGGGGTGGGGATCTCAGAGGTCCATGGGTGATCCTCTTGCCAGAATCCTGGGGCAGACAGTGGGAAACACATTCTCTGTGCCTTCCTCCTTTTCCTTTCCCTCCTCTCAGTCACTGCAATCTCTGCTCAGAGAGATCGCTGGCACGTGTTGTCGGGTAAACCCCTAACTCACCACCTTCACCCTCCACCTCCTCTGCTAGAAAAATTGTGTTGGTCCACTGCTGTGCCTGCTGACACTTGCCTGGCTCCATGGCCTCCTCTGAGGTTCAAGCCACCCATATTCAGATGGATGGATCTGTTGGGTGTCCTATGCAGAGCTGCTTTTTCTGGGTTATGGAAGTCTGATTAGTTTTAAATCAAAAGGGAGAGAAAAAAAAGGAGCAACTCACGTTGCCATGACACTGACATCACCAAGACCTGGGCAACTTTTTGTATTACTACCACCTTTCAAAAGGGCCATAAGCCACTCCAACTATTTCTGTTCCCCTGTCCACGGTGCAAGCTTTTCTAACCTATGCTGCCTCAAATCATTTCTTCTGCTTGGAATGTACTTCCTATCTCTCTCTCAGAGCCCTACCCTTACCATGCTCCAGCATGCTTGTAACTAGCTATCCCCGGGGGCACAGTTTAAGTCGTCACTTGCTCCATGATGCCCCTAGCAAGGAAAAAAAAAAAAAAATCTCCCTTTTTCAAACTCCCATGGTACTTTTTCCTAACCTTCCTTATGGCACCTAAGACTCTACCTCATAGGCAGCTAACTGTGTACCTCACTTGTCTGTAAACAGCTCAATGGCAGTATCTGAATTTCACCCAGCTTGTATTTTCTACAGTGCCTCTGACGGAGGAGGTATTTGCTGAAATGATAGATGATTTTGAAATAAATGCTTTGGTCTCTATTTCCGGCAAACTCTTCCCCAAATAATATTTCATTGACTTGTCACTTCATTCTCAAGTAGAATCATTTACATGACAACAGAACTAATATTTTCCCAGTGTATCAAAGTCAAGAATAATTTCCCCTTTGTAGCAAATAAATCAACAGAAAGCTCCAATAACACAGCAATTATCATATTACAAAAAGCTGTATACCTTAGGCAAGGAACACAAACCTTTTCTATCAAAATGAATCCAATGTATGTTTCCTGGATGTGATAAAGACAAACTAAGCTATTTTTTAAATGGCTTAATGTTTGGATAATAAAGACCAGTCATATAAGAAACTAATTTTGCCATTTAAAAATAGTATTTCAAGGCTATGATTTCCTAAATTTGAAGAGAGTAAAAGTAATTTAATGAAGCGTACACTGGGAAAAACGGGGAGGATTTAAAGGAGTAACTTCCCAAATTTCAAGTTGAAGACCAATATACCAACCTTCTTGTTTCCCTGAAATGACTTCTGCATGAGAGTCAGAAAACAGAAAGTCAAAGTGCACAGGGATATCAGTCAGGAGGTCCTCCAGGATGGCTTTCTGCTGGCTGGAAGACAACCCCAAAATTGACACATCAAAATGGAGCCTACATTTTTCTGTTTTAAAAAGAGGAAAAAGCAAAAGAAAACAAAACAAAAACTATGGCTCTGGTATATCCTGTACAAAAACAGTAAATTTTAAATCCAAAGTAATTCACCGAATAAAACTATTTTGGGAAGGAATTTCATGAGTTGTGTCAATTCTGTGATTCCCAGATGTAAAACTACAACTGCAATCGTTAAATTAATAACACACAAAATCAGGGGTTTTTTTTATGACCACTTTATAGGTTATACTTTATTGTTTACTTTATAGTTTACTATTTGTAGTAATAAACAGATACATAAAACAATTTTTGGTGAGTTCTGGCTAAGTTCTGGAATATCTGGAATAACAGTTGTGGTACTATTCCAAATTTGAAGAAAGAATTTATACTGTCTTCCTTTCGGTGATGATAACGGAAGAGGAGGAAGAGAAGGAAAAGGGACGGTGCGGGGGGAGGTGGGGAATACATACACCACTACTGCCACCAGCACCAACAACCACGGCCACCCGCCCCGGGCCTGGCCTGCCCTGACCCCATGCAGAGGATCACCTTTCAGGAAGGATTCTCATTCCAGCTGTGCAGAGAATGTAGAGAGGTGTCTCTTTGTGTTTTGCCCGTGGTACATGCTCTGCAGCAAAGTTCAAGAGTGGAGAAATGTAATCACTGACCTTCTCTGGAGAGGTAGCAAATTCTGAAATGCCTACAGAAAAAAGGACACTTCTGTTAACAACCAGGTAGTTAATTAACAAGTTATGTTTCTTCAATGTGGCTCATTTGAGAGAAATTCTGGCTATACACCACACTCTCCTAGTTTTTCCCTCTCCCTCTAGCAACAACCTCCACAGTCTCTCTCCCTTACGTGGTGGTGGTACTAAATGTTCAGTCTTATGCTCTCTTCTCAGTCTCCAAAAAACAGACCCAATTGAGCAACCACTGTGTGTCAGACACTGGGACCAACAGCACGTGAGCTCATGCGCCTGCCCTCCAGAACAGGTTCCCACTTTGTGCAGGCAAGCTCACTCATTCCTTTGGCTGCCACCACTATCTTTGTGTCTCAGATCTCCAAATCTCACCAGCAGCCCCCAGATCACATTCCCAACCTCCAGATCAGTATGTGAGAACTGTCCACTAGACATGGCCAGGTCTTGTCCTCACAGACCCCCAAACTCAACATATACACATCTACAAACCTGAACTCACCTTCCACTACAAATCTACTCTTGCTGCTTGGGACCTACCCCAGTGACCACCATCACTAGCCAACCAGCAGCCCAAGCCAGGATTCTGGATAAAATCCCTCTCCCTCCCCCAGTATGTGTTCTGGGTGTCACTGATTGCCTCTCCCTGGTTCCTCTCACATTATTTCACTTCTCCTCCTCCCTTCTGGCAGCCTGATGCAACATATCCTACCCTCCAGTCTTGGCGATCCCTCGACCATTCCCTACACAAAGGGTGTCTTCCTGGCTTCAAATTTTAGAAGTCCAAAAATTTCTCATTTCACAGATTAGGAAACTGTGGATCCAGAAAGATTAAGTGATTTGTCAGAGCAATCAGCAGAAAACAGACCAAAAGTCAGATTTTTTTTTTACTCCACATACAATGCTGTTTTAACAGACGCCAAGCCCCAACCTATCCAGAATCTATTAAGTAAGGAAATTTCGAGAGCTTTGCTGAAATGCTATACATGAGAGTCCCTGCTTCAGGATGGAGAAGTGCTATAAAAAGGTACTTGAATTTCTACTTCCAACACTTTCTGTAGCATCAGAAAGAACCATGTTAAGCCTGGGATGATGTCCCAAAGGACAACTCCAAGGCATGAAAGATTTTTATCTTATTTCATGTGAGCAGTTTAATCACTGATGGAGCCTGGTATGTGAAGCTAGATGAAATGCAATGTGCTTTATACAGTTCTAGTTTTCAATCTTCTGGTGAACTTTTTATTTGATCAACATTACTTTAACCCTGAAAATGTTTCTAGATTAGGAATACAGCAAAATTTAAGGAATGGGATAACAGAAAACTAAAATTTCGGTCATTCATTAAGACAGAAAAAAGATGATCTTTGTTCATGGAGATGTACTTTGACATCAAAATAATGCTTATATGAGAGACTCAGATTAAGTTCCCTGTCTTTAACCTAAGAAATGAGGTAGAGGTTTTGGATTTTCTGAGCAATATGCTGGTGCCCAGCTGCCCAAACATCAAAGAATAATCAACCAAGGGTTGCCTGAAGAAGGAAGTGGGGCCTAAATTTTTCAGTGAAGAATGGGGAGGACTCAGAGAGCCCACAGTCAATGTCATTAGGAACCATTTTATGAGGAAAGTATTTTATCATTAAAACTGAACCTCCTTTACATTTACATATTTGAAATAGGAGAGAATAAGCTAAGATAATTATTTTTTTATCAACATTCTCTAATATTTTACATGATAAATTCCTTGGGTTGTTTGGGTTTAATATTTTACTATTTAACATACTAGCAAGATGAAATAAAAGTGCTGAATCTCTATTAAGATCTGTGGTCCTCTGTTTTATTAAGTTTATTTTATTGTTTTAGTAATCCCCACATCCAACATGGGGCTCGAACTCATGACCCTGAGATCAAGAGGCACATGCTCTTCCAACTGAGCCAGCCAGGCGCCCCTGTGGTCCAGTTTAAGTCAGTGATTATCAACTATCAAGACATAAAATTCCTATTGCAAGGTACTCCTGGACACCTTCCATTCCTAATACTTCTGACAGAAGGGCAATGCCCATGGAAATGGTGTACATACAGAAAAAGGTTTGAGAACCACAGATTTAAATTGTTTAATGGAGAAAGCAAATCCCAATTTTTATACAACACACAGACTTAGAAACTGTGATAGCTTTAAAAACTGGACATAATAATATCAGCTCTTCTAAGTTCTACAGTCACTCTTATTAAATAATGTAGATGATTAGAAATATATTGGGGGAGGCGCCTGGGTGGATCAGTCAGTTAAGTGTATGACTTTTGGTTTGGGCTCAGGTCATGATCTCAGGGCTCCCTCTGCACTCGGTCTGCTTGAGATTCTCTCTCTCCCTCTGCCCCTCCCCCACCTGTGCACATGTGCTCTCGCTCTCTCTCTCAAATAAATAAAATCTTAAAAAAAGGAAAAGAAATATAATGGAGCACTTTTTAAAAATGAGGGGAAAAAAAATACATACCAATGTATCAGAGTACAGATATCCATGAGTTATCTGAAATTACCCTGTCTATAGGGATAAAGACCAATGGCTACCAAATAGGGGAAAAAAATCCCTCCATAATTAATGTCAACTAGCAAACACTTGAGGAGACACATGAGTAAGGCACTGTGATAAATGCTGCAGAAGACACAAGACAGGGTTTTGGATATTTTATCAAGGAGTTAATCGCCTCATGAGGGATGGACAGAAGAGGGGAAAGAAAGTGAAACAATCAGGTCCTGGTGTGAGCTCTGCACCAGGGCAATGACTGCGGGGAGAGGGAGAGGAGGACATGAAAGACCTCACAGAGAAAGGACAGAACCTGATTATCAATCAGATATTTATCTTTTACGTACCGGGTTTTATTTTCATAACCACTGGCTTCCGGTTTTTATCCCTCATTTGTCTGATATCCAACAGATCATGAGGATTGCCGTTGTGCCTTGGCCAGCAGTAGACGAATATTCGAGACCCACTGCTACCACAGTCCACCACGATACCGTAGTTCACATTGGGGCTACTGGTGTCTGTAGCTTCAATGTCAGTAACTCGTGCCAAGTACCTTGTTCAGAAAAATGAACACATGCTTTTACTGAGACAGAGACTCTCATCCTGAACCTGAACAGACCAATTGCAATAAATATACACCAAGTCTGTGAATTCTGAGCTGACCCACAATTGCATTTTTACAACTGCCAAATGATTAAAGAGTCAAAATAAAACAAAACGAGTGACAGTGATAAAGATAATCTAAATCAGATACACAGTCATTACTCCTTTTAAGAAGTTCAAACAAGTTCTGAGAAGCAAAACTATTCCCAAACTATTGACATTAACTGAAAAATCAGCTTAAAAGATATCACAGGAGAAGCTTATGTTTAAATCCTCTTACGATGTGGATTTGGTGGTTAATGATCAAACAGTTTCCAACAGTTTAATTTTTCCTGCCATGCTGTTTTCGGCACAGATTCTGTTTCCTACAGCTGCAGGCTCCTTCAATTCCAACCTAATCCCTAATGTAAAATGAAGCATCCCATCTAGAAATGTTTTTTCTCTTACCTTTGAAACTTCTTATCTCTGGATAGTCGCCCATACTTATTTCGGATTATAACAACAGAAAAGTATAAAAGTGAAACAGCAGCAGCCAGGATACTAATAACAATAATCTGGCGTAAATTGGTATTCAGAATTCGAGGACACCCCACTGGAGAGATGCTAAAATGCCAGGAAGCAGGAAAAAGACAGGAGATGCCGATCCTAAAATTAAAAAAAAAAACAAAAACCAACTAACCAGATTTTAAAGCAATCTGCTCCAAAGAGGCCTCTCCTCACCTAAACGGATCTCAAGGTTAAGACATTTGGCTCAAGCCACCCCTGTTACCCTGCAGGGAGGTATCTGTAGGTCAGCATCTTCCCTATTGCTATTTTGCTATTTTACTCATTATTATAAAACTGCATGAATGAAAATTACACCCTGATGTTTATGACACTTCTGTGTTTTTCTGCCTTTCTTGACAATATTATGTAATTATTATTTGTACCATACTTTGTTCCCCCCCAAAAAAAATTAGAGACAAGAGTCAGTTCAATATGATAAATATATAAATCTACAATGAACTCCTGTTTAAGGATGATGAAACCGAGAAACAATTCAGTACAAAGAAATACGTGTAACAAGACAGGCCTGTAAAGGTGGTCTAGAGGCCAAAACCTTGTCCATCAGATTAGAAACATATAAACAGCTCAGGAGGAGGAAGACTTTCTTAACATTGAATCCCAAGGCAAATATCCCCGATGACTGAGTGGGAAAATGGCAGAAAAAAAGTGTCTTTAATAACATCCCCATAATAAAGCCAATAAATGAGTTTTGTATGTCCTGTGTTTTTAGAATTATTTGAGACATTTTTGCAAATAAACACTTTTCTTCTCCGTTTATGTCAGGATTAAGAGATTATTAGTAGGCTTAAAAAAAGCTTGCTACATTTAGAATAGATGTTATTGTTTTGTGGTTAATTTCTTTAAAGAGTGCTTCCTGGACTAAAATACCTCACAGAAGGGGGAGATATCCTGCTAACCTAGTGGAATTTTGCACCTGCAGTGTCTAGTCTCCATGTGGGTCCTTGGGCCACTCCACAGAGTGTGTCATCCCCTGCCCACTCCTCCAAGGCTTCCAGACAGCTATACTGTGCTTAATACAACCCCTCACAGATTCCAACCCACCTGCCCTTCACTGTAAGCTACGTTAACCCCTGCAGAATCCACCCGGCATGACCATTTTCTGTAACAGGCGCCCCAGTGAGGCCTGGAAGAACAAAGTTGTTAAACAGAAGTGTAGCATAACTTTGAACACTTTTCACTTGGAATTGAGATTTTTTTTTTTTCCTTTCAAGATCTGCTCCTGTGGGGGCGCCTGGGTGGCTCAGTCGGTTAAAGGGCTGCCTTCGGCTCATGTCATGATCCCAGGGTCCTGGGATCGAGTCCCGCATCGGGCTCCCTGCTCCGCGGGGAGCCTACTTCTCCCTCTCTCTCTGCCTGCCTGCCGCTCCCCCGCTTGTGCTGTCTCTCTCTCACTATCTCCCTCTCTCTGTGTCAAATAAATAAAAATGTTTAAAAAAAAAATAAAAGATCTGCTCCTGTGGCACCAAAACCTCAGGTTTTACAAGTACTGGTGATGAGACACCATCACTCACCTCCCCATGCTGATGGGTCCAAGACCAGGCAACGTTCTAGGAGTCAGTCCTCACACACCATCACAGAAATAATGGGGTCCTCCCGGAGTTAGAGACCTCCTGTTCCAGAAAGTGAGAAAAGTCATAAAGATGGCACAATCCAAGACGACATCTATGTTCTTTCACCAAGTACGGGTTTAAATCCAACCACACATAATCTGGGACACGAACCTTGCACTGAAGCTGGCAGAAGGGCCTATTCTGAGCACCACACTTCTAAGTCAATTTCATGCTGTCAGAGATACAGGCCTAAATCAAGAGATGGTAATAGTCTGGTGCTCGCTAAAATTGGAAAGAGATGGTAATAGTTTGGCAACTAGTTAGTGCTCTCTACCTAAAAGCCAATCAGTGACCCCAAAATACCAGCTCATCAAATAGGTACTGAATTAAGGAAGACTCAGGGTCAGGGCAGTAGGCAGGAAAAGTCACTGAATGGGAATCTGAAATACGGACTCACAGAAGAGAGAGGTGAGCTCACGCACAAAGGACCACACAAGGTACCGTGTTCCGAGTCCGCCCCGGCGCATCCCCCGCTACCGCCTCGCACTCCTTCAGCTCCCGGGCCTCACTTCGCAGAGAAAACAAGGGCTAGTGGGGGCTGACAGCTAGGGCCTCCTTCTGACCTACTGGATCCAAAGACCTCCCTCTTCCTTGGTTCTGTGGCTTTACCTCTTCCAGGCCTCTCAAGACAGCCGTCTGCCCTTGCCGGCTTCCTAGCCCTTGAGCAGCAAGGACGCCCCCAGGTCTCCTTCCTAAAGGCCTGGCTGCTCTGCCGTGCCCTGGGCTTCTTCCTGGCTAGGCTCCGTTTTCCCCCAACTCTGATCTCTGCTCCTGCTGCTCAGTCTCATTGAAGGCTTCAATTAGCAGATCACTCAAAAACTTCTTTCTCTACCCCAGGCTTCTCTTCTGAGCTACAGCTGCAGAGATCTTCAAGCATCCACCGACACCTCCATCTGAACACAGCACCAGCCCATGAAAAGCAGTCCTAAAACCCACGCTTGGACTGCAATCCACCCTCCCTTCTCCCTTAACCTGGCCCGCCCTACAATCTCAGTCTTAATTCCTCCAAGCTGCTTGAACCAGAAACGAGGGAGTCAGGCCTGACCCCTTGTTCTCCTTTACCTTTCACAGCCAGTTTCTTACAGATTCCTCCCTCCATTTTTTTTAACCTCACTTTATCTAAAATCTGTTCCTTTTCTCATCTCTTGCTCGGTCTATCAGAATAGCAGCCTAACAAGTTAGCCTCCTACCTACAGTGTCAACCCAGTGGCTCTCCAATTCTTCATCCAAGACCTTTAGGCACATTTTTCTTTTTTTTTAAGATTTTATTTGACACACACAGAGAGAGAGAGAGAGAGAGAGAGAGAGAGCGCACAAGCGGGGGGAGCAGCAGGCAGAGGGAGAAGCAGGCTCCCTGCATAGCAGGGAGCCCGACGCAGGGCTCGATCCCAGGACCCTGGGATCGTGACCTGAGCCGAAGGCACATGCTTAACGACTGAGCCACCCAGGCGCCCCTAGGCAGAGATTCTTCACGTGAAGTTGACACTCCCCCCGTCCCTGCTCAGGCACGAGATCCCCTTACTCTCGTACTTGAAATCCTCCAGTGGCTCCCACTGCATTTAGAGTACATGCCGAAGGCTTTACTCTGACTTTCGTGGTCCACGGAACCTCGCCACCTGTCACTGCTCTGATCTCATCGTCTGCCCTCCCTTTTCACTCCACACCAGCCATACTGGCGTCCTGCTGTCTTCAAACATGCCAGGTGCCGTCTGGTCTCCGGGCCTCTGAACGCGCTGCTCCCTCTGCTCAGAAATCATCTGGGTGATTCACTTTCTCACTTCCCCCAGGTCTTCACTCAGTGTCACCTTCCCAGGGAGGCTTTCCCTGGCCACCCAATCTATCAAACTATCCTCTCCACCCATCTCTTTTATTTTTTCCCTTAGCTTTTACTTATTTATTAAATAGAGCTTTTTATGTGCTAGGCCCTGCTTGCTTACAAATATTAATTGATTCCTCTTAATGACCCACAAGGTAGGTGCTATTTTATCACATTTTACAGGAGAGGCGGAGAGGCTAAGTAACTTGCCTAAGGTCACACAGCTAAGAGAAGATGACTGTACACAAAAAAGCTGAGATTCCAGCATGAGAACCCACACTCTTATCCTTGTCTCTAACATACTGGGTGTGTGACTGCATTTCTCTTGCTCATGTGTCAAGTTCCACAAGGGGCCAGATTTCTGTCGGCTTGGTTGACTGCTGCATTCCTAGTACCAAAAAACCCTAGGAAAGTGCCTGGCAAAAAGTCAACTGAGACCCAAAATGTTAAGAACTTACACACTAGAGTGATCTTTCCAAAACAACTGGGAATCCTGACACCTCCCCACCTCTTCTTTCTTTTTTTTTTTTTTAAGATTTTATTTATTTAAAAGAAAGAGAAAGAGCACAAACAGGGGGAAGGAGCAGAGGGAGGGGGGACAAGTAGACTCTGCACTGACACGGGGCTCAATCCCACAACCCTGAGATCATGACTTGAGCTGAAATCAAGAGTCAGATGCTTAACCGACTGAGCCACCCAGGCGCCCCATTTTTTTTCCCACCTCCCCACTTTTCTCTCCCACTCAGGAAGAAGTCCTAACTCCTTAGGATGGTAAAGGAGGGCTCTCACGGTCTAGTCTTATGCTGTTTAATAGGGGGAGCCACTGCCATGTGTGGCTATTTAGAGTAATTAAATGAAAAATGCGGTTCCTCAGCTGCACTAGCCATATTTCAAGTGCTCAGTAGGCACATGGAGCTTCTGTATCAGACAGCACTGATCTTGCCCTTGTCTTCTAGTCCTATCCCGACAGACTAGACAGATATGTACCCTCTGCTTTAGCCATACTAAACACAAGCAGCGAGTCACCGAAACGCCCCACATTCCTCTACCTTTCTAGAATGCTTCTCTCTTTCGGGTCCACCTATTGGTGGACTAACACAAATTAGGCCTGATTCCTCTGTGAAAGCGTCCCTAGTCCTCATACCCCCAGAGCATTTGCTCATCACATTAGTGGGCTATTGTATTACACTTGTGGTTGACTTTCTCATTACGTGGCAAGCCTTTCATTGGCAGGTGCAGCCTCCTCTTCTGTTTCCCCAGTGACCAGTGCCTGTCACGCAAGTATTGTCTGCTTCATGGATGGCTGGGAATGGGAGAGGTAAAGATGAATCAGGTATGGACCCAGCCCTGAAATAATTTATAATGCAGTAGAGGAAATAAAACACACACACACACACACACACACACACACACACTAGAGTAAAAAGTATTAATGATGCCTATTTGACAGAAGGGGAAAAAAAATCACTTTAATTCATTCAGGTTTCAATATGGTATCCATATCAGACCATGTACCCAACACTTGGGACAAACAATATTTGTGATTTAAAAGTTTACACAAAAAAGAAAAAAATTTCAATTGCTGAGATATTTAAATGAATTTTAATGTGTTTTTATAAAGTAGCTATCTTTCAGCATTTGAATATGGTGAGATTACTACATCACAACTTTTATGAGAATTCCAATGGTTCAAAAATTAGATGTTAAAAATATGCATAAAAATGTAAGATGAAAATGTACCCAACTCAGAATCAGTGAGGCTTTTCTACAACTGACATCAATGTCTCAATCCATAAATGCAAGAAAACAGACCATATGAGTTTAAGACTTCTTAGTGTTTTAAAAAAAAAATCCCTTCCCAAATACACAAGGCTTGGGAAAATTACTTGAAACATCTATAACAAAACGTAAATATCCCTGATATATAAAAGGTTCTTCTAAATAAGTAAGAGAAACACTGAAATAGAAAAATGAGCAAGGATAACTGGAAATTAACCAAATAAGAAATACAAATGGCTGATACAACTTCATTTATATTTAGAGAAACATAAAGAAAAACAAGACTTCACCACTATCAGACCGGTGGAGATTAAAGTCTGACAATACTTTGCTAACAAAGGGGAATACTGTCGTGGAGAATCTAAATAGGTACTAACCTTCTGGGGTATGGGTATATGGGTAACATATATGAAAATTTTTAAACATGCTTACCCTGTGCTCTATCACACAGAAATTCAACCTTAGGAAATAATAGGGTAAATTCACTAAAATATGTGTAGGGCACCTGGGTGGCTTGGTCAGTTAAGCGTCTGCCTTGGGCTCAGGTCATGATCCCAGGACTCTGGGATCGAGTCCTGTATCCGGCAGGGAGTCTGCTTCTCCCTCTCCCTCTGCCCCTCCCCCCCCCGCTTGTGCACTCTCTTGCTCTCGCTCTCTCTCAAATAAAATCTTTAAAAAAATTAAAACGTGTAAAGAAATTCATGACAGTATTGAGTATAATAGCATAACATGGTTACTGATGTGCATTATAGGGGGTGGGCTAGACTACACATGGACCATTTCTGCAGTGGTGGAGCAAAATGTGATTATTAAAAGTGATGATGCAGATCTGTACTTATGGACAGAGACAGATATCCATGATATATTACATGAAAAAAACACACCACGCACAGAGCAGGGGAATGGAAGGACAGAAACCAAAATGTTAACATGGTTGGCTACCGCTAAGTAGTGAGATAACAGGTCATCTGTTTTTCTTCCCTAGGTTTGCCTTTATTTCCTAAAAGGCATACATGAACTTTATCAGCAGAAGAGACAACAAAACTATTTTTAACAAGCTACCTTCAGGGGCACCTGGGTGGCTCAGTCGTTAAGTGTCTGCCTTCGGCTCGGGTCATGATCCCGGGGTCCTGGGATCAAGCCCCACATCGGGCTCCCTGCTCGGTGGGGAGCCTGCTTTTCCCTCTCCCACTCCCCCTGCTTGTGTTCCCTCTCTCGCTGTGTCTCTCTCTGTCAAATAAATAAATAAATAAAATCTTAAAAAAAAACAAAACAAAACAGCAAGCTACCTTCAACTGAGATCTCCAGTGTCCAGCATCAAATTCTCTTCTGGATATATCAAGAAAGCTTATGTTAGCAACCACGACATAGGAATTCGAATCTGAACGTTTTTAAAAATCGATAATTATGTGAGAGCTGAACTAAGGACAAAACAAAAGAATGTTCTAGTTAACAGCTTAAAGTCAAGGACCTAGGGGGAAGAAAGACCTTTAAGGATTCAATGATGTGAGCTTGGAAGGGATAGGAAGGGCGCAGAGAATTAACAAACCTGGCTCCAGTTTTCAAGGAGTGTGCAGACTGGTTACAGAGAAAATTCTAATATCCGTAAAATAATCAAGAAAATAACAGAAGGCAATGTTAAATCATCCAGACTCTTGCTGTAACATATAACAGTTCAGAGAAGAGCACAGTGGAAGCTAGGGAACAGGAAAAGATTCTTGGAGGTGAGAGGTACACTTTCAATGGGAGAAGCGAAAAGGGAACACATTTCAAGGAAGTTGCACTGTTTAGAATGATCATAGCAAACTTGGTAAACATTATTTAATCTGGTGTTTGTCTTAGAACTTTTTTTTTGAAATACGTGAGGATTTTGACAAAAAGCATAAATGGTTATTTTTGTAAGTGACAAAACTGGTGCTTAAAGAGAGAGGAACATAGGACAGCTTATAAACTGCTGAAGTAATTACTTTTATTTAGGACAAAAGTATGACTATTACCCAGCAGTCAGCAATATGGTAATTTGATCTCAAAACGTAAACTCCAATTGTATTTGTGGCTAAGAATCTTGGCACCAGAGTTTAGAATGTTACATAAAACTGCCATGTTTTTAAAGGGCTTAAATTGTGTTAGATCTACCACCAGAGAGATGCACTGACTCATGATTTCAGCTAGTGGGGAGGCCCTCCTTAGCTGAACATTCTCTAGTGGAGAGAAGTCCATAAGGTCATGGTTCAATGTCTCTTTCATTTTCTTACTATTAGTCCTAAGGAAAACAGTGAAAACAACATAAATCAATTGCAAAGTGAAATGGCTCTTCTGGTGAAAAATGCAGCATGCAATGAGACAGACATTAGCAAATTCTCAAATCACAAGCAAACAAAATAATAGACAAATGAGACTATGGAAGAGCTAGACCTGAGTAAGAAAAGGTAAGATGACACGAAGAAAAGAATGATATAAATATCACAGGATTACAAGAGGACCTTGAACAATCAAAGGAGCCCACACACACTTAGGCAGAACTTTGTAAGAAAGAAACAACTGTCAGGGGACACCTGGGTGGCTCAGTTGGTGAAGCGTCTGCCCTCAGCTCAGGTCATGATCCCAGGGTCCTGGGAGCGAGCCCCACGTGGGGGGAGGGGCGCTGCTCAGTGGGGAGCCTGCTTCTTCCTCTCCCTGCCTCTCCCCCTCTGTCAAATAAATAAAATAAAATCTTAAAAAAAAAAAAAAAGAAAAGAAAAAGAAACAACTGTCAGGGTGCCTGGGTGGCTCAGTAGGTTGAGTGTCCGAGTCTTGGTTTGGGCTCAGGTCATGATCTCACGGGTCATGGGATGGAGCCCTGCAGCGGGCTCTGTGCTCGGCGGCGAGCCTGCTGGAGATTCTCTCGCTCTGCCTCTCCCCCTGTTCACATGCACGTGTGTTTCTCTCCCTCTCTTTCTAAAATAAATAAATCTTAAAAAAGAAAAGAAAAGAAAAAGAAGCAACTGCCTTGGGAGAATGAGAAACCAAAGTGAAGTGCAGGATGATGTGCCTCACTGGGTTGTGGGGAAAGACATCAAAATAACTTAATTCAGTCTTTGTTTCAGAAGAATGCACGTAGTTGCATTTATGATCTACATTTTCTTCAATATTTATTTTTAAAAATTTTATTTTTCAATAGCAAGTCCTAATCAAACCTCTTCCTACCTCTCACTATTCATTTGCAAAATTCTGGTCCCTATTTTAAATGACCTTTTACTGGTCACACTTTTCCCACATCACCTCTGCAATTTCTGAAATCTGCAGCTCTGACTTTCCTCAAATTCCAATTCCACATCCTGAGCTTACTGACACCCTGTTACTACAACTTGTTTAGTCCAAATCTGGGGTCACAATCTTTTGGCAGAAACTAAGACAAATTCCAAACACCGTCCAAATTCTCTAGGCCAAGTGGGATATCACTATTGGCTGGGGTCACCTGGTTCTTAACCTTGAATCCTACTTATCTGTGTGTCTACATATTATATCATTCATTGGGTCCTGTCAAGTCTTTTTCAAACACACATCTAAATCAGTTAGTTCACACATCTAAAATCACCACAGCAGACATCACTACCTCAAGACAAACTCTAGGCAGATCAACTACCTTCTGCCTTTACTCTAAATGCCACACTTCAGAAACACCTGTGTAAAATGCTGCTTTCAAAATATGATCAGCTGAAGAAACTTCTGGAGCCTATGGGTCAACACCAACTTCCCTGTGTGGCATCTGAAATCTTAACATCCATCAACTGGTCCCATCTAATTTTATCAACTTCTCTCCTCAGCCCCAGATAACATCTCTCTGCTGTAGTGAGATGGGTCTCTTCTTGTCCACATACACTCTTCTCATTCTTGCCTCTGGCCTTTACTAATATCACTTCTAGTATGTTCTACTCTCAATATTACACTTCTTTCAAAGCACTGGTCCAATATTTTTCTTTGACAAGATTTAACCTGTTTTACTTTCTAATGTTTTCCCACACTCCGAATCTTCTCTTTATTCAAGTGTAGTTTGTTTTATTTTATTTTATTTATTTATTTACTTAAGTAGGTTTCATGCCCAGCATGGGGCTTAAACTGATGACCTGGAGATCAAGAGTCGCATGTTCTATTGACTAAGCCAGCCAGGCACCCCAAGCACTGTTTATTTTAAATAAACATGTTGAATACATATGTACAATGTAAATCCTTAGATCAACTTTATTACTTTCTTTCCTTCTTTCTAGACTATAGACACAGGAGTTGAGATCAGGCCTTCCAACTAGACCTGGAAGAATGTAAACCATAGATTCAATATGTAACAGACACAAGTGATTAATCAATGCTAAGGTAAACACAGAAAGAAATCATTAAACCACTTATGCAAACTAGTACCACATTCTAAAATTCTGCTAATCTGTCAAACTGAATAAACCTAATACAAAGACAAAATAACATCAAATACAAGGTATCACAAAGAATATGATTCTTTTAAGCCTCCAAGGCTGAAAAAAATTCATTACGCAAAGCAAGACAGGGTAAACGCTGCCATGTGAAATCAAACTAGGGATCTGAGTCTCTAATTTAGAATTCTTTAATGATTTCTAGTTTATCTTCTAGCATTGAAGTTCCAGAACTGTAAAGCATCTCTTTTCTTTCCTAACAGTGATAAATGTTCTCTGAAAATGCTCTGCACCAGTCTTCATCTAACGGGTCTGGGGGCTCTTGTAAGTTCTGGGACATATTCTACAGAATGAGATCTGTGTCCTTAAAAGGTGTCCACGCATTACTCAGGTTTGAGAAACACTGCTTTCACAATCACTTTATTGTCCAATTAGTTCCATTCTTCCTAGGAGCAATCTAAAGCATAAAACTTAGTAAGAGCAGAGCAAAGCAAAACCAGGGCTGAAAGTACCGATGTTAGGATGAGGCGGCAGGCAAGAAGCAGTCGGTGTAACATCCCCTTTCGTCCCTCCCCAGTGGGGGCCAGATCCGCCCACACTGAGTGTGAGAGAGCGAAAATCCAGCGTGGTCACCGGAGCAGGCGCGACAGCACCATGCCAGTTTCTCCTGCCAGGGACTGGGGGAGAGCACCTGCCGCCCGGGGTCACCGGCGCTGACCGCCGGGGCGCCCGGATGTGGCCGCGCGCCTCGGGCCGCAGGGGCGGCGCCGACGCCAGGAAGACCGCCAGCAGGCACGGGGAGGGCTCCCCGGACAGAGGGGTTCGTCCGTGGCCCTCGCCGCTGCGCCGGGCCCCACACTTCAACCGTCCCAGCTCCGCCGGGCGCTTCCCCACCCTCCCCTCGTCCGCGCCGGTAAGGCCGCCTCACCTGTTCGGCAGCACCCGATTCGGCGGCCGAGACTCCCGACGGCGGGAAGCTGGGAGCGGAGGACATCACGGCCACCGCGGCGCGGTGGTGGCGGCGGCAGCACGGGACCGGCTTCCTGGAGGCTCCGCTCCTTTCCGGGAGCAGCACCGCGGCCCCGGCGCCGGCCCGTGCGCGTCACCGCCGGTGCAGGGGCGCGCACGCCGGGAGGGGGGATGGAAGCGCGGCTCCGGGGGCGGGGCCTGAGCCAGAGGCGGGGCCTGAGTCAGGAAGAGTGGCGTGGAGGGCAGAGCTGTGGGTAATCACGGTGGTGGGGCTGGGCGGAGTGAGTGCCAAAAGGGACAGTGGTATCACAAAAGTAACGGGTAGTGTGGCTTGGTTACCGCCAGTCGTAGCTGGTCTGGTAGTCAGAGAGCGGCAGTGTGCTTACTACACCGCGGTTATCTTTCCTTTGTGGCCCCAAGGATTATGGAAAATAACACTTGAAAACCTAGGCATTTTCGCTGAACTCTTGACAGGTTTACAACTTTACCAGTTGCTATCCCTGTTTTTTTTTTTTTTTAAGGTTTTATTTAAATTCTAGTTAACATACAGTGTGACATTAGTTTCAGGTGTACAACTGAGTGATTCAACCATTAAAATCCCAGAAGAGAACACAGGCAGTAACGTCTTTGACATCAGCCATAGCAACTTGTTACTAGATATGTCTCCTGAGGCAAGGGAAACAAAAGTAAAAATGAACTATTTGGATTTCATCAAGATAAAAAGCTTCTGGGGGCGCCTGGGTGGCTCAGTCGTTAAGTGTCTGCCTTTGGCTCAGGTCATGATCCTGGAGTCCTGGGATCAAGTCCCGCATCGGACTCCCTGCTCCACGGGAGGCCTGCTTCTCCCTCTCCCACTCCCCCTGCTTGTGTTCCCTCTCTCGCTGTGTCTCTCTCTGTCAAATAAATAAATAAATCTTTAAAAAAAATAAATAAAAAGCTTCTGCACAGTGAGGAAACAATCAACAAAACTGAAAGGCAACCTATGGAATGGGAGAAGATATTTGCAAATGGCATATCTGATAAAGGGTCAGTATCCAAAATATGTAAAGAACTTATAAAGCTCAACATCCAAAAACTGAATAATCCATTTAAAAAGGGGCAGAAGAAATGGATAGACATTCTTCCAAAGAAGACATACAGATGGCTAACAGACACATGAAAAGATGCTCAACATCACTCATCGTCAGGGAAATACAAATCAAAACTACAATGAGATACCCCCTCACACCTGTCAGAATGACTAAAATCAACAACAGAAAAAACAACAGGTGTTGGCAAGGATGTAGGGAAGGGGGAACCCTCATGCACTGTTGGTGGGAATGCAAAGTGGTGCAGCCACTCTGGAAAACAGTACGGAGGTTTTTTAAAACTTAAAAATAGAACTACCCTGATACAGCAATTACACTATTAGGTATTTACCCAAAGAATAAAAATATATTAATTCCAAGCGATACACCCACCCCAGTGTTTATAGCAACAATGTTTACAATAGCCGAACTATGGAAACAGCCCAAGTGAATGGATAAAGATGTGGTATATATATATATATATATATATATATATGATGGAATATTAGCTATAAAAAAAGAACAAAATCTTGCCACTTGCAACAAAGTGGATGGAGCTAGATAGTATTATGCTAAGCGAAATAAACTATCCCTGTTTTACAGATGGGGAAGCTAAGGCTCAAACCATCCAGTGACTCTATCAAGATACACATAATTAGTAAGAGCTAAGATTTCATCCTTGCCAAAAGCATGTTCTGGGGGAGACAGACTGCCCACACACAATGGTTCTGAGAAGAAATAGTAGGGTGAACACCAGTTCCCGAGGTTGACCTGATGACCTGGTACTTAGTTCAAGGCCACTCTCTATCTCTAGCTCGACAAAAAAACTGCCTTGAAGTCACAGCACTGGAAGAGACATTGAGAATCATAGCTTCCATCTCCAAAAGAAGACCTCTTTTTCTACAGGTGAATACATTGCTGTCCAAAGATAGGAAGTGACCAGCTAGCCTAGCCACTTTAAAATGTTTTTTTTTTTTTATGAGAGCCCTGGAAATATCTATATCGTTACTTCCGTCAAGTAAAACAAATGTGGACAGAACTAGTAGTTACATATTTCAAGCAGAATCCTTCTTGGTCCAGCACCAGCCTGGGTCATCTCCTTGGAGTAATATTTCATCCCTGGATTCTTTTTTTTTCTTTAAATTTTTTATTGTTATGTTAATCACCATACATTACATCATTAGTTTGTGATGTAGTGTTCCATGATTCATTGTTTGTGTATAACACCCAGTGCTCCATTCAATACATGCCCTCTTTAATACCCAACACCAGGCTAACCCATCCCCCCACCCCGCTCCCCTCTAGAACCCTCAGTTTGTTTTTCAGAGTCCATCGTCTCTCATGGTTCATCTCCCCCTCCAATTTCCCCCCCTTCATTCTTCCCCTCCTGCTATCTTCTTTTTTTTTCTTTCTTAACATGTATTGCATTATTTGTTTCAGAAGTACAGATCTGTGATTCAACAGTCTTGCACAATTCACAGCGCTCACCATAGCACATACCCTCCCCAATGTCTATTACCCAGTCACCCCATCCCTCCCACCCCACCCCCACTCCAGCAACCCTCAGTTTGTTTCCTGAGATTAAGAATTCCTCATATCAGTGAGGTCATGTGATACATGTCTTTCTCTGATTGACTTATTTCACTCAGCATAACACCCTCCAGTTCCATCCACGTTGTTGCAAATGGCAAGATGTCATTCCTTTTGATGGCTGCATAATATTCCATTGTGTATATATACCACTTCTTCTTTATCCATTCATCTGTTGGTGGACATCTTGGCTCTTTCCACAGTTTGGCTATTGTGGACATTGCTGTTATAAACATCGGGGTGCACGTACCCCTTCAGATCCCTACATTTGTATCTTTGGGGTAAATACCCAGTAGTGCAATTGCTGGGTTGTAGGGCAGCTCTATTTTCAACTTTTTGAGGAACCTCCATACTGTTTTCCAAAGTGGCTGTACTAAGTTGCATTCCCACCAACAGTGTAAGAGGGTTCCCCTTTCTCCGCATCCCCGCCAACGTCTGTCGTTTCCTGACTTGTTAATTTTAACCATTCTGACTGGTGTGAGGTGGTATCTCATTGAGGTTTTGATTTGGATTTCCCTGATGCCGAGAGATGCTGAGCACTTTTTCATGTGTCTGTTGGCCATTTGGATGTCTTCTTTGGAAAAATGTCTGTTCATGTCTTCTGCCCATTTCTTGATTGGATCATTTGTTCTTTGGGTGTTGAGTTTGATAAGTTCTTTATAGATTTTGTCATCCCTGGATTCTGACACTGTTCATGGAACAGGCTAGTAGTGGACAGGGGGCCTGGTAAATACCATCTTGGGCGCCTGGGTGGCTCAGTCAGTTGAGCAGCTGACTCTTGATTTCAGCTCAGGTCATGATCTCAGGGTTTTGGGATTGAGCCCTGAGTCAGGCTCTGTGCTCAGCAGGGAGTCTGCCTGGGATTATCTCTCTCCCTCTCCCTCTGCCCCTCCTCCCGCTCCCTCTCTCTCTCTCAAATAAATAAATCTTAAAAAATAAAGAAGTAAATACTGTCTTTTTACTCTTGTTCCACATTAGAATCATAAAGCCACAGAATGTTCAAGCCAGAGGGACTGTGGAAACTGTCTGGTCCAAACTACCTCCTTTTGCTGTTGAGGAACCTGGACCCAGAGAGGTTAAGTGACTTGCCCAAGATTCCTGGACACAAAGGGGGGAAGCTATACCAATGATCCTGACTCCTACATCAGTGCCCTTTGGTGGTAATCTGTTTCTATTTTTAAAATGTCCAGTTTGGATGGCTTACACGTATTAGCACCTCTGTGATACTTAAGTCTAGTTTTTAGAAGCTGAAGTAGTTAGCTACCAACATGTGATTTTAGGGCCAGTCTCCCTCAAAATGATGTGCCTTTCAAAGCCCTTACCATCTGAGATATTGATTTGAACTATGAGTGGTCTCTCTTAAGGAGGCCCCCACTAAAATGACAGACTAGTGTTATTATTCTATCAGCTTTCTTGGTAATTCATATATAATAATTATCTGATAAAAGCTAGGAAAGAAAAGTATAAAGAAAGTATGAAAACATGTAACATGGTGTATTCATTTCCTAGAATTGCCCTAACAAATTACCCCAGACTAGGTGCTTAAAATGACAGCAATTTCTTCTTTCACAGTTCGAGAGGCCAGAGGCCTGAAATCAAGGTGTTGGCAGGGCCATGATGTCTCTGAAGACTCTAGGGGAGGATCTTTCCCTGCCTCTTCTTAGTTCCTAGTAGTTCCCAGCATTTGGCATTTGGCATTTCTCAGTTTGTAGATGCATCTCTCCAGTCTCTGTCTCTCTGTTACATGCTGTTGTCCTGTGTGTCTCTCTGTTCAGATTTCCCTCTTCTTATAAGGACACCAGTCATAATGGATTTAGGGCCCAACATAATCCAATAAAATTTCTTAATCTAATTCTGTCTGCAGAGACTTTATTCCCAAATAAGGTCACATTCACAGGTTCTGGGTGGATATGAATTTTGAGGGACACTATTCAGCCAGCACATGAGAGGACCATCCCAGTCTAAGCTGTCAGGGAAGACCTCTGAGGAAGTGGTGTTTGAGGTCACACCCTCCAGATGAACTGGAATTAACTAGAAGAAGGAGGAAATCTGGGTCTATTTGAAGAAGTAATGTAGTAGAAACAGCAAAGATGCTCTGAAGGGGGAAGGAACACAACCGTCAGAGTGATCCATCAATTTATTCTCACTTATTAACAAAAGAAACAAAAAACTAAGCTAACTGGAGATAACATTTACTGAGTACTTTATTTTAGGTATAGTTCTAGAGCATTAGAAAACATAACAAATAGAATGATAACGAAAATGCATCAGAATTCATGGAATGCAGCTGAAGTAGCAGCCTGGGAGAAATGTATAGCTTGAAAAAGCTTATTTTAGTAATGAAAAAATATTTGAAATCAATTATCTATGTTTCTATCTTAAGAAGTTAGGATAAGAAGGGTGCCTGGGTGGCTCAGTCAGTTAAGTGTCTGACTCTTGGTTTCAGCTCAGGTCATGATCTCAGGGTTGTGG